GCTCGTCGTCCCTATGTTTTGCTGTTGCGTTTTGATATGTTCGCTGGTGTTGTGCCATGATATGATATGTTTTGTCAATGTGTGTTATGTGTCGCTCGGTTGTGCTATGAAATCTTATGTTATGTCGTCTTCTGTTGTGTCATGTTCTGCCCTGGTATGGTACGTGATGTTATGTTATACCTAAGTTTGTCATAACATTGCGATGATCTGCTCTGTCATGTTCTGTCATGCTCGTGTTATGTTCGGTCAGGTTCTGTTATGTTTTGTCGTCTTCGTCGTCGCTATGCTCTGCCGTCGTGTCATGATCTGCTATGTGATGTTGTTCCATGCGATGATCTCTTGTGTCAAGGTGTGTTATGTAATGTGCGCTTATGTTATGCTATGGTGTGTGATGTCGTGTTCGTCCAGGGCGCCAGGCGGGATTATCGGGACAACTTGGGGTCTGGCCGCCGCGGTATGCAGGGTGGGGTTGGCCGGGCGCCAGGCGGGACACCTGGGATACTCGGGACCGTAAGATGATCTGCGGGCCCCATAGGGCGAGGCTCCCGCCTGAGACCTCCTCGCAATTCACTCACAGACGACGCTCCCGCCTGATACTTCCTCCAAATTCACGCCCCAGGAGCCCAAAAGTGACGACAGTTACAGGATCCCGATGACCCGCCTCGGATTAGTAAGATGATCTGCGGGCCCCATAGGGAGAGGCTCCCGCCTGAGACTTCCTCGCAATTCACTCACAGACGACGCTCCCGCTTGATACTCGAGTGAGTGACGGACTGACTGAGTGATGTGTGACGCCAACGGATGATATCCTCATGTGATGATCATGATGAGTGAGTGAGTGAGTGAGTGAGTGAGCGATCGAGTGGTGTATGGGTAAGTGTGATGGTGCTGAGGAGGAGAGGCGTGGGTCATGATGATGATGACTGATGATGATGATGATGATGATGGCGAGAAAGAGGAAGAGAGAGAGAGAGAGGGTGTGAGATCCTGCGCGGGGGGTGTGCAGAGAAAACAAGAACCCCACTTTGGATGTGGGGAAAAAAACATGTCCGCCTTCATGTAATGGATCGTAAATCCCCCTATTGGTGGATCCAGGCCATTTGCGAGTAACTGCTTTGCGAGTACTGGAACGCGCTTGTCTAGGCAGGGGGGAGGGTCAGCTCAGGGGGAGACGCATCGACTCCCAATCGCCCAGTCATCGCCTATAGGGGCCCCATAGCCCCATCCCGCTCAGGACCTTTCGGATTCGCTATCGGGGATCTATCGCCGATTTATATGCGACGTATCGCCGAGTCCAGGTCGATTCAGGAGAGAAGACCACACAGACACAATGAATCGTCGATCCCCTGGAAAAGATTGGGAAATTCGGGAGGTGGGGGGGGAAGACGAACATCCAGAAAACGTAAGAAAGACCCGGAATTCTGGGATACGTGTGCATTTCTTCGTGTGCCCCGGGGCCCCTTCATCGATGCTTCCCTCCCGAGCCAGTCCCCCCGACCGCTCAGGACCTTTCGGAGGCGCTATCGGGGGCCTGTCGCCGATCTATCTGCGATGTGTCGCCGACTCCAGGTCGAGGCTTCCCTCCGATTGCTGCCCCTCACAGGAGGAGCGACAGCGCTGCCCGTGCCCTGTTTCCGCCGCGTCGGGCGGGCCTCCCGGGAGACCCCCTCCCGAGAGCTGTGGGCCCCCCTCGTTCTCGCTGGTTACTCCTTGCCTCGCGATTCCCAAGCTCCGCTGGGCTCTTGCAGAAGAGCTGGTGTGTCTTCTCTTGTTATTATTCTTCTTCAGGATACTCTCATATGTTCTTCATCTGATTATTATATTCGTCTTATCAGCACTCTTCTCCTTAGTGTTCTTATTGTTATTACTGTATGTGTATTATCCTTCTTCTATTTCTTCGTATTATGATTCGTCCTCTTGTTCTTCTTCCCACTCCCCCCTTCTTCCTCCTGCCTCCTGCCCTTCTCGGCCGGGCCGGCGCAGAGTCTCGTCCGCTTCTGCGTGCGAGGGAGAGAGCGGGAGGCCCTCGCCGCCACAAGTGGACACGCTTCGAAATTCTGGCCCGAGGGCACCCCCTGGAGAGTTGGGAAGCCGCGGCATCGGCATCTCCTGGTCTCCCCTGCCAGGGGTGCCCACCTATATTCTGCGAGGGAGGCGTGGGCCCAGGGGTTCCTAAGCACCCCTCGCGAGGCCCCCTCGTCTTCGTCGTCTGCATCCTCGCCCTCCTCCTCGTCCTCCTCCTTTTCCCCGTCCTCCTCTTCGCCCTCGTCGTCCTCCTCCTCCTCCACCACCACCTCCTCTTCCTCTCCCTCCTCGTTCTCCTCCTTGTCCTCGTCCTCCTCCTCCTCCTCCTCCTCGCCCTCCTCCTCATCCTCCTCCTCCTCCTCCTCTCCCTCCTCGCCCTCCTCCTCTCCCTCCTCGCCCTCCTCGCCCTCCTCCTCGCCCTCCCGATGGGGCTGCAGCAAGAGCGGCTCGGGCGGCCGAGGGGCACCTCCTCGGGCCTCGGGCCAGGGCCACCTCCAGCCTGCACTCGAGGAACGGTCTGCGCAGGGGGCCCCTGCGGGCCAGTTCGACTCGGCTCGGTATCGTCTCGCCGGCCCCCCTCCCCATCCTCCCTCCTCCTCCCACCTCCCTCCTCCTCCCTCCTCCTCCTCCTCCCTCCTCCTCCCTCCTCCTCCTCCTCCTCCTCCTCCTCCTCCTCCTCCTCCTCCTCCTCCTCCTGCTCCTCTCCCACCACATTACCATCCCAGTTGGGGAGACGCCCCTCGAAACCCGAAGGGAACGGCCTACATCCCCGTCTGGGGGGGGCACATCGGCCAGTGGGGCCCAGGCCACGCCGCTGGGGATGGGGATCGGTGAACCCATACTCACTGCGGGCCAGTTCGACTCGGCAGCGCGCGGGGAGGGGGCTCTGCGAGGGGAACGGGCTTCTCATCAGGCTTCCCGCGCTTTTCCAGGCCTCCCACGCGAGTCAGGAGTAAGCAGGCGGGGTAAGCAGGCGGCGATGCGGAGCCTGCTTTTCTGTACGTCGGCTTCGCCGACGCATCGCCGACGTCGACGATGCACCGCCGATGCATTGACTGCAAGACGACAGCGCGCGGCGCTGAGCCGCTAAGCCGAGGGTCACATGTTGAATACCATCGTCTCTCCATCCAGGCAGGTGCTGGCAGCGTCGAATAACACTGTGTGCGGGGCCAACGCGGGAGCCACTTTTCGAGTATCACCCAGCCGCCATCATTGCAGATTATTGGAACGTTTAAGTAAGACGAACGTGCGCGGCGCTAAGGCGAATACCATATTTCGAAAACGAGCCGCCCTCCATCCACATTGCATATTGAGGCTGTGAACATGGATGTGTGCGGCGCTGTGGCGAGAGCCACAATGTTCAAAAGCACACGCCCTCCATCGAAAACACAAAGTTTAATGCTTTAGGGTCAGTCAGACCTGGCCCGCCTCACAAGGCTGGCGCAAGGCGTGTCCGCAGCGAGGCGTGATCGAATGCAACTTGCTCCCCGCCTCTGGACGCATCGATCTTGGGATCGGAACCCCAGGATCGAACACAGTTTTCTCCGCTTTCTGTCTCCGCTCACCGGTAACGATAAGCTCCTGCATTTCTGGAACACCGCCCACCCTTCTCTTTGTCTTGGAATCCAGGCCTCGCAGATGGGGTCACAGAAGATTGGGTCGGTGGATCGCGCCGCATCGCTGATGCATCAGCGATGCGGCTCTGTGTGGAGCCCGATTTCCTCCACGCCTGCGGCGCCGATGCATCGCCGACGCTGCCATCGCATCGCCAGTGCGTCGCCATCGCATCACCGATGCATCGCCGATGCGGCCGGGTCCGCCGACCCCAGCTGCTCCGATCCCCAATTTAGGAGGCCTCTAATGAAGCTGCTCCAGATTTCGTAATAAAGGGAGGGGGGTCTCATTTCGGGGGGGGGGTCTCTTCCAGGCTATCTTGGAGGGCCTGGGGGGGTCTGGGGACGATGTTTTGGAGGGTTCTCCCACGGGGGGGGGGTCTGAAATGGCTCGTCTTGGAGGGTCCAGACTCCCTCCCTTTTATTACGAACTCTGGAGTACTCCTCGCCCTTGCCCTCTGCCCCTCCCCCCTCCATCTCCCCGCTGCTCCTCCTCCATCCCCCTTCCTCGCCACCGGCTCTTCCCTCTCGCCCGCCCCGTTGCTGATGCTGCCGCCCGTCCTCGGCCCTCCCTCCGCCGTCGCCTCTCCCGCGCGGGGGCGGCGGACCAGAGTGGGCCCGTGCACGGCGCAGTTTGTGCCCGCGGATTCCCCGAAGAGTCAGGAGGGGAAAAAACACACAGACACAATTAATCGTCGATTCTCCAGAAAATATGGGAAAATATGGGAAGTGGGGGGGAAGACAAAAAAACAGAAAATATGGGAAAATATAGGGAATCTTTTTATTTGTGTGTATTTATTTGTGTGTCCTGGGGCCCCTTCAAAGAGGGCGATAAACCCGGCGCGACCCCGATTCGGGGAGAGCCGATTGCATGGGCGCACTTTGGGGCGCATCGCTTGGCATGGGTCGGCCGTGCTTGCCATTGTTTGGCATTGCCGGGCGATGCTGGGCGTTGCTTGACACCGCCTGGCACTTCCTGGCATGGCTTGGGTACTGCCTGGCATCGCTCGGCATTTTTATTGACATAGCTTGGGCAACGGGGGGCGGTGAACCCGAGGAAGCCGAGGAACCCGAGGAACCTCCGGGAAACGGTCAACGTAACAATAGCAGGCACCGGGGGCGGGGAACCCGAGGAACCAGAGGAATCCGAGGAACCTCGGAGCAACGGGCAAGGTAGTAATAGGAGGCACTAACCTTCAACCAAGTAAGAACCCATTAGGCAAACCTAGTCGGGGAACAACCCTGTTGACGTAGACATTGCTGAATGCGTTAGTTGTTTATAGATATTTGGTGCAACCCAGATGGTCATCGAGAGCGGCCGCGTATTTTGCCTCCGCTTCCTCCGCCTTGGCTCAAGCCCAGATGATGTTCCAGAGGGCCGTCGCGCCCGCGGATTCTCAGGACAGCCATATGTCGCGGGATGGCGCTGCTGTCGACACCGTGCCAGGCTCGAGGCCCTTGACTGACGGCTACTGCGGCGTGTGGCGCCCCTCTCTGACGGATTCCAAGCTCAAAGGTCAGTCGCCCGGGCTGGCGCAGACTTACCAGCTGGTGCCCCCCTCGCGCCCGAGGCGGCGTCTCTGGATCGACGAAGACGGGTGGAGGAGCGGGTGGACCAGTATGTATCTAGAGCACCAGCTCTGGAGGAAGGATTGATGGGCCTGCTTTCCACCACCATCACCACCATAAGCTGGAGGGGGGAAGGAGGTGGATGAGGAGGAGGAGGAGGAGGAGGAGGAGGAGGAAGAAGACGCGTGAGAGGAGGACCCCCTCCCCCCTCCAACTTATGGTGGTGGTGGTGGTGGAAAACAGGCCCATCGAGGATCAGGGCCTGCTCTGCTATGCGTCGAGCGCGAAGTCGGGCACGCTGCCGCGGCTCGGGCTCGCCTTCCAGGTGCGGGAGCTGCACTCCGTGGATCCGACGACGGGGACGTGGCAGGGCGAGGTGCGGCTGCATCTGTGCGTGGCCGGCAAGGAGACGCTCGGCCTGGACCTGCGTGAGGGTCTGCAGGGAGAGGACCTGGATCGGCAGTGGGAGCGAGTTCAGCAGGCCTGGCCCGTGGTCGAGGAGTCTTGGAGCCAGTGGGGCCAGGCCAGCTCGGAGGACCCGATGCAGTTCCTGGCCCAGGCCTTCGGGGTGCGCGTCTACAACGTGGTGAAGGGGGCTGCGCCATCCGTGAGGGGGCCCTCCAGGATGTCGGAGTTGGATCTCTCCGAGGGCGTCATCGGGGGTCGGTGGAGCATTGAGGGCACCTTCTTTGTGCCAGTTGAGCTTTCGGGATTTCCCTTCGATACTCTGAGCTGGGACGTCATCATCAGCATCATCGGCTGGTCCCCTGGGATCATCGACATGATGTCTTCGTCGCTGATAAACGTGGAGGAGTTCGACATCTACGGTCTGCGAGGCCAGAGCCACCCCTCGAAGAATTTCTGGGTCCCCTACGTGTGCGAGTCCAACGTGGTGCCCAACGACGCGCGCCTCGGCGAGAGCCTGGCGTACTGTCGCTTCCACAGCCGCCGCCGGCCTGCTCTTTCGGTGATGACAAACATCGTGCTCCCGATGTGCCTCATGGCGTTCCTGGGCGTGGTCGGGGTGATGCAGGCCACGGGCTCGATACAGAACTCCAACTCGGAGACAGACGGTGTTGCTCTTGAAGCAACACTTCTGCTCACGGTGACGGCCATGAGGTTCAACTACGCAGACACAGTCCCGAAAAGCCAGTTGCGGCCCACGCTTCTTGACAAGTACATCATCTCGGTCATGATGCTGCTCGCCGTCACCACGGTGGGAATTGTTCTTGTTCACGAGGACGACATGGAGCTTCTGCAGGCACCGTGGCTCTACATCGTCGTCGTGCTGACTCTGCACGCGTACTTCTGCTTCTGCGCGTGGCGTGAGCTTCGCATCCCCCCCGAGCGGAAGGCCCAGGTGCTGAACAAGACGCCGCACGCCCCCCCCGAGGGCGGCTGCTCAGGCCAGGTGTTTACCTACGGCTTCGTGACCAAGGCAGAGGTGTCCGCCCTGCAGTGAGTCAGCGGCACTGGCCTCGCCCACCCCTCCACCCCTCCGCTGCCGACGTCCGGTTCGCGGCGTTGGCCCTCCACTCGGCGCGTGTTGATTCACCGCTTCCTCCTCGCCGCCCTCCTCGTGCTCTTCCTCCGCCTCGCCGGGCCGCTGTGCTGGGGGGGGGGGGTCCTCCATGGTTGGGGGGCGGCGGCGGTCAACAAGGAAAGGCACTGGCTGTGTGTCTTCGTCTCCCAGGAGCGTGCGCTCTGCACTACGGCGGTGTGGGGTTTCCTGCGCGCAGACGGCAGTGCAGGCCTAGCTTGCAGCTTGCGGCTTCATGCGGAGGTCTCGCTCGTCTGCCCTCTCACGTGGACGCTGTGAGTTCCAGTGGCCCATGATTTTCCATGTGAGGTCCTGCGACTTGCAACCATTCTAAGCAGTGCAACCGATGCTGCTCCTTGCGACCCCAGCCCCACCAAAAAAAGTATTTTGCTGCGAGCGATCCCCGCCGAAACCTTAAGCGTTCTTGTTCCCGACCGCACGCGGCCGCCCAATTGGTTGGCAACTGCCGTTTCTGGATTGCCAAGAAGGGTTCAACCGTGTTCCATGTAGTCACGTTCTTTCATGTTGTGCTCTATTATGTCTGTTCTGTTCTTGGCAGGCCGGCGTGACGCCTGTCACGTTAGATGCGTTGTCTGTTAGGATGTTCCTCTGTACTTATGTTTCTTTTATAGTTCAGTGCGGTATGTTTTGCTCATTTCTGTCACCATACAGTTGGAGATGGTATGGTAGGTTCTACTCTGTGACACTATTTTATGACATGGTATGGTATGTCAGATGGTGAGTGTGTTCTAGTATGATTTGTTCCCGCTCGGCTCAGTATTCTATATTCCGAGTTGCGCTGCTAGTGTGTTTCGTTGTGTTTTGCCGTCGTGCTAGGATAGGTTGTGCGATGTTGTCATGACTCATATGATATGTTATGCCATGAGGAATTCTGTTATGATTGGTTATGTGTTGCTGGATTGTGTTATGTCGTCTTATGGTCTGCCATGTCCTGCTTTGGTTTGTTATGTGATGTTATGTTTGGTGACGGCCGGGCTCTGTATGGTATAGTATGATGTGCGTTGCTAGAATGTGTCGTTATGCTTCGCTGTGGTGTTGTGATATGTTATGTGATGATGCGTCAGGCTATGATACGTTATGTCAACGTGTTTTATGTGATGTTCGATGAGGTTATGCTGTTTTGTGATATGCCGTTTTCTGGCATGGAATGTTCTGCTATGGTATGTTATGTGATGTCATGGTATGCCCTACGTTGTCATGATATTGCTATGCCCTGTTCTGCCATGTTCTAGCATGCTCGAGTTCTGTTGTGTAATATTATATTATGTCATGCTGTGTTCTGTTTTGACGTCGCTATGCCGTGCTGTCGTGTTATGATACGTTATGTGATTGTCTGTCGTTGTATGATATGGTTTGTCCAGGGGTGTTATGTTACGTTCGGCTCTGTACTGGTGTGCTGTGGTCTGCCGGCTTCTGCTCTGCCGTATTCTGCATTGGTATGTAATGCGATGTTCTATGTGTTGACGGCCCGGTTTTGTATAGTATGTGATGATCTGGTTTGCTAGTATGCGTCGCTATGCCCAACTGTCGTGTTATGATATATTCGGTGATGATGTGTCATGTTATGATATGGTATGTCAAGGTGCGTTATGTTGTGTGCGGCTACACATTGTTCATTTCGATGCCTTCGAAAGTCCTTTGATTTCTTGGTGGGCCATATCTACTTGTTCTGTCCTGGGCCTCTTCTTGGCCACTAGGGGGCCAGGAACAATTTGAAACGAGCACACTTAGACATGAGCACGATTAGAAATCAACAACGTGTGCGTTTTGTTATGTTGTCTTCTGTCGGTTTCTAGTATGTCATGTTTTGCTCTGGTATGTTCTGTGATGTTATGTTATGCTTTGCAGTGTCATGACACTGCTATGTTCTATTATGTCGTGCTCGTGATATGCTCTGTCATGTTATGCTGTGTCGTGTTGTGTTCTGTCGTGCTCGTCGTCCCTATGTTCTGCTGTCGCGTTATGATATGTTCGCTGGTGTTGTGCCATGATATGATATGGTTTGTCAATGTGTGTTATGTGTCGCTCGGTTGTGCTATGAAATCTTATGTTATGTCGTCTTCTGTTGTGTCATGTTCTGCCCTGGTATGGTACGTGATGTTATGTTATACCTTAGTTTGTCATAACATTGCGATGCTCTGCTCTGTCATGCTCTGTCATGCTCGTGTTATGTTCGGTCAGGTTCTGTCATGTTTTGTCGTCTTCGTCGTCGCTATGCTCTGCCGTCGTGTCATGATCTGCTATGTGATGTTGCTCCATGCTATGATCTCTTATGTCAAGGTGTGTTATGTTATGTTCGGTTATGTTATGTTATGGTGTGTTATGTCGTGTTCGTCCAGGGCGCCAGGCGGGATTATCGGGACAACTTGGGGTCTGGCGGCCGCGGTATGCAGGGTGGGGTTGGCCGGGCGCCAGGCGGGACACCCGGGATACTCGGGACCGTCGGGACAACGGGGTTTTTGGCGGTCGCGGTGCGCAGGGTAGGGTTGACCGGGCGCGAGGCGGGACACCCGGGATACACCCTGGGCGATGCTTAAGAAACGTAAGTTTTCGGCGAGAGTCTCGATTATTCTTAATGTTTCAATGTAAATCCCAAGATTTTGATCGAAGTTCTGGGTTTTTATTCAAATCCTGAGACTCTGAGTTTCTTAACCCATGATTTCTTAAGCATTTCGCAGGGTGTACTCGGGACTCGGGACAATTTGGGGTCTGGCGCCCGCGGTATGCAGGGCGGGGTTGGCCGGGCGCGGGGCGGGACTCCCCAGATTTTCGGGATTCTCGGGACAATTTGGGGTCTGGCGCCCGCGGTATGCAGGGCGGGGTTGGCCTGGCGCGGGGCGGGACTCCCCAGATTTTCGGGATTCTCGGGACACTTTGGGATCTGGCGGCCGCGGTATGGAGGGTGGGGTTGGCCGGAGGGGCCTGTTCTTGAAATCTAACAACCCCAACTTGTCTGGTGGGGAACAAATATTCTTCCTGTTTCTTCATGCCCCTCCTCCTCCTCCTCGTTGTCCAGCTGCTGCTCCTCATCCTCTCACCCCTCTTTCTTCCTTGCGGTAGTTTCGACGCGGCGCGGGCGTTCAATGTTGAAAGCCGCCAGCGGCCTAGAATCGGCCAAATGATCAGGCGATTGGAAAGCCGCCGATCGTTCAAGATTGAACGATCCACGTGGTGTCAGCAACCAACGCCAGGGTCGTCACGATACGAACTTGCCGTACGTGCACGCGTGCCCCAAGAATTGTCCATGACGGCTCGATGGGACATCATGTCAGAGAGGGATGGTGAGGGCGTCCTGCCCGCATCAGGACGCACCGCTGCCGGACACCGCGGAGCAAGTGTACATCTCATCGCTAGCGTTGCTGAAGATGCTGAAGCACGGGCGCGCGGGGGTGCCGATGGAGGCGCCGCGGATGCCCCGCGGCATCGGCTGCCGTCACCGCCTCTGCGACTGCCCGGCGCACCGCAGGCACACATCAAACGAAACATGGGCTTTTGCCCGCAGGCGCCCCGTTGTGAATAGCTGATCCCCCGATGGCCCCCAGCACCCGCAGAAGCTCTGGGCCACCTGTAGGACCCTCAGAGATCGACGAACAACTTGCCCAAGTGTGGCTTACTTGTTTTTTATATATGTATATATATATATATATTATGTAACAAGGTGCCTTCTCGTATGTGTCTACTGCAGGCCGTTCCAGGGCGGCCCTCGCCTCCGAGGGATCGAGGTGGTGGCCCCTCGTCTTCGGCGGGAGGCCAGCGGGTGCAGAATCGGGGCGGCTCCGCTGGCGGAGGGCCAGCGGGAGCTGGCGACAACAACGGTCGTCCATCCAGAGAGGTGTTTACCGTTTTAGACTCCTGTGTTCCAGAACGGGGGTCATGTCTAGGCCGCTCAGCATGCTGTTGTGGTACGGAAGGTTCGCCCGTGTCGACCAGCGGCGACCCCAGCGCGGGCGTTCAAGGTTGAACGCCGCCCGTGGCCCAGAATCGGGCGATGCTCAGCGATCGGACGTTTCGGAAAGTGCCGATCGTTCAAGGTTGAACGATCCCCGCGGTGTCAGGAACCAACGCCGGGGTCGACACGACACGAACCAGCCGTAAATCGTTGCTGAGTTACCTGCTTGTGAAAGCCACCATTTCAGACCGTTTGCAGCCGTTGCCACTGCCCTGGCTCGCGTCGGCTTCGAACCATGTGCTGCAACTTGGGTCGGGCATGTATTCGAAGGGGCGCTTGGGGTCTGGGAGAGTGCAGGCTGGATTGAGCCCCAGTTGTCGCTCTGTGCGCGTTCGACTGGTAACAATCAATGGGGGGCAACTAAGATGAGGGGCAATATAAAGATTTGCCAGGGATGGGTTCGATGTGCTACGGCCAGGAACTTTGGCTCAGCGTGCCTCGTCACCGGCTTGGGCCCGCCACGCTTGGCGCTAACCACGCCCCAGTTCCCAAACGTCAACTTCCCGAGCTTTTCCCAGCCTCCAGGGCATCAGCTCGCAGGGCATCGCGTGTCGCCGGGGCCGCCGTCGCGACGCTCGAAGCGAAAGTTCCCGATCGCGGTATTTTCGTGGACGTGCCAACGTCGGCTAGGGAGGCACGTGGATATCGCAACTGGCGCCTGAGTTTCATCAAACCGGGGCGCAAGGACACCGTTGCTTGCTCACCAAGGGAAGGAGTTTGAGGCGGAGGTGGCGAAATCCGAACCATACCCTCGCCGATTCATGATTGAGGCAACTCGATGGGTGGCGGGGGTACGGTTCGGAATTTGCCGATCTCGTCTTGAAATCCCAACCCTAGCCCTGCCGTCCATCGATTCAGGAGAATCGATGGTTTGTGGGGTTAGGGTTTGGATGCCGCCACCTAAGGAGGGCAATGCTATCGTCCTTGATTTCGTTCGTTATCGAGGATGTGGCGTGACTCGGGCGGTCACTCGGATCGTTGCAGGCAGGAGTGTTGTGTTCAAGGGAGTCCGCGTTGATCTGAGGGAAGGTCAGAGCTGGTTGCGCAAGCTGAAAGCTCACCTGCGGTCTGAATCCTGACAGGAGGAGAAGGAGGATGGAGAGGAGGTCGAAAAGGAGGAATCTGCTACGGTAGCGCGTGATTTTTCGGGAGGGTGATCGGGGATATGATCGCCATCAGCAGCTTGTAACACGAAGTAGTTATGGCGCCCGTTGCGATTGTTGTCGTTCCTCACTCCCTCGTTGCATCTCCCTTCCATCCTGCACGCTGCTGCTGCCAATACCTGGGTACAGGGTTGACGATTGGTGCGTCGCCTGTGGATACGAGGAACAGGTTCCACAACGGAGAGATAACCAGCCGCGCCCACAAGGGGGTGGCACAAGGGGGGTGGTCTTCAAGAAGGCAGAGGGGGTTCTGAGACGTCTTCTTAGAAGACGGGCGGGCTTCTTAGAACTTCCCGCGCGGAGGAGGAGGAGGAGGAGGAGGAGGAGGAGGACAAGGAGGAGTTCTTGGAAGCCCCCTCGCGCCAGCCCCGTGTGGGCGCCGCTCCAAAATTAATGTTGTCTTGAAGCTGCAGAGGCCCAGGGGAGAGGATGATGCAGCAGCTCGCGTTGACTGGCGCTGTGACTTGAAAGGTTGAGAGCGAAGTGACCTCTGATGCGTCCACTACTCCTCCAAGTCTACGCGTTGTTACAGTGAACTTGCCTGGATGACTAGAAGTCTTAGTACTGATGATGGTTGTCGCCGCAGCAGCCGGCATACCACACCAATGTGGAAGGATGGGGAGAGCAGGAGGAACAGGAAAAGCTAGACGAGGACGACGAGGGGGAGGTCAGGTGGGCAGAGATCGGGTAGGATCAGACCGTCGCATTCGTCCTCTCAGTCGTCGTCGCTGCTTTTGCGCGGCAGGTGATGGGCTTGATGCTCGGTGAGTTCATCGACGACTACACAATTCGAGTCGGTCGGACGGGCCGGCGCACTCGTGACCGGTTGAGGCGCAGCAGCAAGACGGCGAGGGAGGAGGGGCTGGATGTCCGGAGAGGAGGGAAGATAGGGAGGGGAGGAGGGCAGGAGGCAGAGGGAGAGGAAGGGGGAGGGGGAGGGGGAGGTTTTTGCATCGGCGCCTGGGATGGCGCATAATGCCGATGAAGAAGGCTTGCGTCTCTTGACAAAAGGAGAGCAGCTGTCCTGCCGTGCCAGAAGACTCCGTCGCGGAGGGGCGACGCCCTCTCGCTCGCAGAACGCGCGGGAGGGGGGCGGCGACGAGGACGAGGACGAGGAGGGGATCGGGGGAGGAGGAGGGGATGAGGAGGAGGAGAGTGAGGAGGAGGAGGAGGAGGAGGAGACGTGTTGAAGCCTCAGAGGCCCGCGGGCAGTCCATGGCGACATGCCCTTCGCAAGCCGTTGTCGAGCACACAGAGCTGGAGTCTCGGCTGAAAACTGGCACTCGCATTGTGCAGATCTACAGCTGGAGGTCTCCCGGTGAAGTGTGTTACGAAGGCAGTGTGCCGACACCCGCATGCCCGATTGCCCCCAGTTATCAGTGTAGGACTACGCGGCAGGATGGTCAGATTCTTCGACGCCTGATGGGGCGTCATGAAGACATCTTCGGTACAAATGTAGGACCTCTTGGGGTTTCATTGTGGCATCGGGGGACCGCATTGGCTTTTGAAAAGCTATCTGTGCCGCAAAGTCAAGAGTCTGTGAGAGGGCCTCTAGGGCAACATTGGGACCGTCTCGGGGCCGCCTTGAGGATTGAATGCTTCTGGGGGCTTCCTGAGCTGGTGTAGCCCATCCTGGGGCGTCCTGCAAGGCCTCGCTTGCCGTCTTAGGGCATCTCTGATGCTATGTCGGCCGAACTCACCAATAGGGCAACCGCGTTGAGAAGAATTGTGTTTGATAGACCGTTCGAGATATGCAGAAGTTTCCCCCCTTTCCTTTTGGGAGTTCTTTGGATACTCCTGGAGCAATGTTGGAGGCTTGGGGCGTCCGTGGCAACCTTTGGCCCTCCAGATTCCCTTGTTGGGGCCCTCGCAAGCAGCTCCAGCCCTCACAAGGCCCACTCGGTGCCTTCTGGGTGCCTTCTTGAAGTCTCGCGGGGACTATCGATACCATAATGGAGCACCCATTGGGGACATAGTTGGGCTTCCGGTGGACATGTGGGGGCTTCCTTTGGACTCTTGGGGCCTTCTTGGGGCCGCTTGTGATCCCTTTAGGCTCGTCTTGGAACGTTATTGGCCTTCATTGCGAGGAAATATTGGATTCTATTGGGGGATTATCGTCTGTCTTGTAGGGCCCTCTGCGGATGAGAAGAGGAGACGGCCAACGGTGATTACAGCACCGAGGCCCCCACATACGTGCTTAATCTATGCTATGTGTAGGCATATGCGATGACCACCTGCGCACACACATATGGTGTCTAGAGAGTGCCACGCCTGTTACGCTCTGCAACCTCACAATGGATAGCGCCTCCACCCTCAGCGCACCCCCTGTGGTGCGAGGCAGTGCCACGCCTGCCACGCGTTGCGACCCCGCAGCAGGTAGCGCCCTCACCCTCAGCGCACCCTTCAATGTGTCGGGAACGTGCCACGCCTGCCACGCGTTGCGACCCTGTCTCGGATAGCGCCCCCACCCTCAGTGCACCCCCTGCGGTGTCAAGAGCGTGCCACACCTGCTGCGCTTCTGTGGCCCTGCAGTTGGTAGGACCCTCTATCCTCAGCGCACTCTCTGTGGTGTCTAGAAGGTGCCACGCTTGCCACACTTCGCGGCCCGACAGCGGTGTCGAGATTGCCACGCCTGCCACGCTTGCGACCCTACAGCGGAAAGCGCCCAACATCCTCAGCGCCCCCCCTGTTGAGTCGAGAAAGCGCCACGCTTGCCACGCTTTGCGACCCGACGACGGATGGCGCCCTCACTCTCAGCGCACCCCCTGCGGTGTCGAGCAAGTGCCACGCTTGCCACGCATTGCGACCAACAACGGTAGCGCCCCCACCTTCGGCGCACTCCTTGTGGTGTCCAGGAGGTGCTGCGCCTGCCACATGTTGCGGCCCAGCAGCGGATAGCGCGCCTCCCCAAGCGCGCCCCCCTGTGGTGTCGAGTGGCACGCCCTGCATTAATTTCTTGTGTGCCTGATGTGTGTACGTCTGCATGTGTTGTGTAGGTGTCTGCGTGGTGTGTGTGTGTGTGTGTGTTTGTGTGTGTTTGTGCGCGTGTGTATGCCGGATGTGCGTCAAGGTGTATGCGTGCATGTGTTTGATGTTTGTGTTATATGTGTACGTGCGTATGTCTGATGCGCGTATGCGTGCGTTTGCGTATGTACGTATGCGCGTATATGATGCGTGTGTGTGGCAAGGAGTGAGAAGGGGCGTTGACCGAGTGAGTTCGTGTGAGACGCAGGTGGGAAGAACACCATACTCCCATTTTGCATGTGGGGAAGCTACAATTGTTTCCCTTTCCTCTCTGTCATGATCGTGGCTTCTCTGGAATTTCCGCTGGAGGCTCTGAAACCACGTTGCATCAGTTGTGGGATTATGTCCAGGTTTGGGTCAAGCTGCAGGCCATGTGCTGGCCAACTCGGGCTATCCAATATCCGCTACCCTGGTGGAGTCTTGCAGGCATCTCGGAGCGTGTTGGGCTTCCTCATGGATAGGGGGGGGGCTCCCTTGGTGGAGATATCGGGAGCCTGCTGGGAGCATGTTGAGGGGGCCTCGGCACAGCGCCCCGCGGCACGAGAGTGGACCCAATGTTGGGCATCTTATGGCTTCCTTGGGCCGACTGAGGGTTATCTCAAACCACAACTGTTGGATTTAAGTCGGGCCTGTCCCCCTACGGGGGAAATATTCAAAAAGAGTGAAAATAGTCTGGGGACGTTTTTTATAGTATTGTTTGACAAGTTGGGGATATTGTGTAAGTATTTTTTTGTTCGTCGGAAATCGCCTGCAAGTCCCCCTGTAGGGGCACAGGCCCGACGTAATGTTCGATGTGTGGGCTCTCCTGGTGCCTTCTTCGGGAATTAGAAGACTCAGTCTTAGAGAATCATCCACCGCTACTGGCATAATGCCGAGTTGTGATTTTCGGGTTTCTCTTCCTCGAGGTGCCTGACCCATGGGTGCCATTCTTGGGCCGCTCTCGGGCGCGTCTCAGCTGGATTGTGCCCCCAGCTTCCGCTGAGAGGCCCCCGGGGGCGGCCTCGCTCTTGAGCAGCTACACTGTATTACCTGCCTGCAGGAGCTGGCGTGCCTCTGGTTTGTTGAGGGGGCCGGTGAGTTGGCGTCGGCGCCCGCGTGTTGGGCTGAGACCTAGGCTTCAGGACACCACTTCCTCGGCCGAGACGGCTGTGAGCGATGAGCGCTTAGGAGTTCGCGCGCCGTCCGGAACGGCGTGCGTGAATGACGAGCACGCGGTCCAAGGAGCATGTGCACGCCAGTAATATTGTAGTGGCCTTCGGCCAGTGCCGCCGATCCGGGTCGCTCGGTGTTATTCTCCAGACGCAAACATCATGGGCGCACACTCAAACGCACAAACTTCTCGGGTTACCTTCGAAAGGGCGTAGGAATGCAGTTGGGTCAATAGAGCCACCTCGCAACAGTGGTTATATCAACGGCGGGGTGCTTGCAGTGACCGTGGGGACGGGAAATAATTACCCTGCGACGTACCCAACCCACGTGCATCAAATGGCAAGAGGAATATGCCAACATATAGCAGGAACAACGACAGTGTAGACGCGGCGATTTGCTGTGCAAGCTACATGGGATGCGCATGCGTTGCACGATTCACAGGACGACGATCGAAAGAACGAGGCTTGAGGCCCCAGGATCGAAGAAGAACGGGTACGGGAACGAGGGGTAGGAGAGGGATGGAATGGAGGGCGGGGGGGGGCGAAAGGCCATCGCGGAAGCAGCAGCGCGCATGGAGAAGGTGAGGCGGGGAATAGGACGACGATACAAGTGGCGGGAGGAGACAGAAGACTGCCGCGTTTTTCAAGTGAGAGCTAAACCCGCAGCGCTGCCTGCGCCATGTCGTCGCAGAGTTCCACATGATAAAACTTGTTTAGAGTGCAAGGAACGAGCGAGGCGTAGCTCGCCCGCTAGCTTCTCCGCCTCCTTCCCGCACATTTCAGCGCGGGAGCTGAACGCTCGCAGGCGCGCCGCCAGGTCTGCGGGCGGCCCGCGGGAAAGAAACTCAAGGCCGGGGTCGCGCATCATCAATCGGTTGTCCATCGTCCAAAGTTGCACTGGCGACGTACTGGTTGAACGCGGAGCGAGCAGCATCACGCGCGTGCCTGAACGCCACGCAGGTACAGTGCACGCGCGATTGGGACTTCAGGTCGATCACGCGCGTCTCCACCAGGCTTGGCAACACCACGCGACTGAGGATCTCACTTCGGGCCGGGCGAAAGGGGGGGATTGGGAAAGGGGGGGTTACGAAATTTGCTGCGTGCAGCTGGTTTCGGCCTCGCCGAGGGGCCCATTCCTCGATACATAGCCGCCTCCGGCGCCGGGAGGCGCCGGGAAAATCAGCTACGTGAGCTGATTCTCAAACCCCCCCTTTGCTATCCCCCCCTTTCGCCCGACCCGGTCACTGCGGTCTGCCATGCTGCTGTCCGCGAATGCAATGCGCTGCCTGCAAGTAAGGCGGCGGCGTCCACTTGTCTCAGAAGATGTTCCCGCGGGCCCGAAGGGCGACCGCCAGCTCGAGCCGCGGCGCCGGCAGGCCAGATAAGGATCATGCAACAGCAAAGACGATGACAGAGCAACGAGGTATCGGCGAGTGCATGACCGGCTTCCGTTTCCTGCACTTCTTTCCTGTAGTTCCCCTAGCTCATCGAGCTCAGCAGATGTTTCTGCGGGTCCGAAGGACGACCGCCAGCTCGAGTCGCAGCGCCACGTGGCACGAACCGCAGAGCAAGGGCACGCGAGCATTGCTCGTGGTCAGAATCTGAGTCCCCGCGGTGCCTCACTCCGCTGGCCACCCACCAGCAGCCCTCGAAAGTGGCGACCGTTTCACAGATCGCAGCCGCCCAGGGGTGGCGAGGTCTAATCTGAGTCCCCGTGGTGCCTCACTCCGCTGGACCCACCAGCAGCCTCGAAAGTGGCGACAGTTTCACACAGGGATGGCGAGGTCTAATTTGAGTCCCCGTGGTGCCTCACTCCGCTGGACCCGCCAGCAACCCTCGAAAGTGTCGACAGTTTCACAGATCGCAGCCCCTCAGAGATGGCGAGGTCTAATCTGAATCCCCGTGGTGCCTCACTCCGCTGGACCCACCAGCAGCCCTCGAAAATGGCGACAGTTTCACAGATCGCAGCCCTCCAGGGATGGCGAGGTCTAATCTGAATCCCCGTGGTGCCTCACTCCGCTGGACCCACCAGCAGCCCTCGAAAGTGGTGACAGTTCCGCAGATCGCAGCCCGCCAGGGATGACGTGAAAGGCAAGAGAAGAGAAGAGGAGGAGCGAAGAGAGGAGGAGAAGGCAAGCAAGAGAGGAGAGGAGGAGGGAAGAGAGGGGGGGGCGGGAAGGAAGGAAGGTGGAGACCGCAGTGCTCTATTCAAAACGAGCACCCAACGCAGGAGGGTTGGGAATAATGACGTGAACATTCCATACAGGATGCCGATCACTTTGGAAACTCACGATACGTCGTGCACGGAGTCGTGTTACGAAACATGTGGCCTGGACGATGTGGTGCGAGCGGTGAAGGCGAGCCTATCGGCGCAAGGACGCCCTCTTGGGGCGTTTTTTGAGCCATCTTAGGAGCCTGTCAGGGCGTCGTGGGGGCTTCTTGGGGGCTTTCGGAGGCCGTCTTGGAGGCTCTTGGGGCCTCCTGGGGGCCTCGTGGGCTGGAAGGCTAGATTGTTTCCGCTTTTCGTCCCTCTTTTGGGTCCTCGTGGGGCCGTCTTGGGGGCCTTTTGGGCCGTCTTGGGCGGCTCTTGGGCCGCCTTGAGGCCCTCTTGGGCCGTCTTGGGACTGTCTGGGGGCCTCCTGGGCCGTCTTCGAGCGGTCTTGGGGGCCTCTTGGGCCGTCTTGGAGCGTCGGAAAGCCGAAAAAAGCGACAACCCCAAAAACATTGAAAAAACCAATGGGAATCAACGATTTTTGCCTCTGGGGGCCATCGTGGGAGGCCTCTTGGAGGCCTCTTCAGACGTCGTGGAAGGCTCTTGGGCCGTCTTGGGGCCATCTTGGGCGTGTTCGGGCGATCCTTCGGGGTCTCGGGACTTTCGTAGACCGTCCTCAGAGACTTTTGCGACCGCGGCCACCCTTCCAGCGCATCCTCGAGATTAGAGCCTTCTGTAAAAGCAGCGCCCCGCACCCGCCGGAAACTCGCACCCCCCCCCCATCCCCCCCCCCCTGCCCCGGCAGAGCCACCCCGGCACCCCCCCCAGAGGCTGAGGCTCAGCCTCGAGGCTGTAGCTGAGACTCCTTGAAACTCACACGCCGGATCGGCGGATCTGGAGCCCAGACGTTGCAATTGTGTGTGGGGATGTTTCGAGCAGGGCTTGACCTCAACGGTATTTTGGCGATTTTGTGGGCCGTTTTCGTTTCGACTTCGTTTTGCGGTAGAGGTGGATTGAAGACAAAACTAGTGAAAACGAACACAAGAAAAAACACCGCTCAGGTTCGGCCCTGGTTTCGAGGTGCGTGCGTCTTTCGTATATGTGTAGGCAGCCTCAGCCGAGCGTCGTCATCACCAGCACTTTCATGACTTCGCCTGTCGGCCATCTCCAGATTCCATCATGGGAAATCTCCTTGCCTCACTGCATGCCACGGCGACTGCACCAACTGGCGAATCTGTGGAGATGGGTGTGGGTGGGAGTCGACGTGTTCTCGATGCCGCAGTCTGGCAACAGCGTGAGCGTCGAGGCGGTAGACCCGGTGTTCCAGACAAAGATGCTTGACATGCTCAAGCAGACTGGAAGGAGCGGCTGGGGCGCATGCGGGTGAGTTGAAGGACGCCAGACGACATATGGAAGTAGGGGACGCGGACCTGCGGGAGGGGGGAAGAAAAGCAGGCTTCGTGCAAAAGGAGGTGGCGGACAGTGGAAAAGACGGAGAGAGGTGGAGCGCAGATGACAGCGAACATACATGTCATCATTTGACTAAAGTCGGCCACTGGGATCCTATTGCACCCCCTCTTCTTCCTCTGTCTGTGCTGCCCTCTATCTACTTCTTCGAGTGTGGCTGCATCTGTTCGTCATCGCAGGGTACAATTGCTCGCCGACGCGCTGTACAGTCAGACCGAGGTATAAGATCGAGGTCGGTCCGGGGAGGGTACCCTAGTGTTCTCTTCGAGCTGGATGAATGTTCTTGTGCATCCTGGGGGGGAGGGTGCCCTCAAATGTTTTTGAGTTTGGCCGGCGGAGGGTCTCGTGTTCTGGAGGCAGGTTCTTCTATTCTAGGTCCGACTGCACGTGCCCAAACCAACATTCCTCGCAGGAGATGGGCTCGGCTGGCTCCTCCGTCTCTCTGAGGGTCTGCAAAGTTGGCGCCGAAGATGTGGCACGCATGCGCCACGCTGCCCTCGTGAGGCTTGCACGTCGTGTGCGGGCGGCGCAGCGGTGGCATCGACCCTCCCTCGTCGTCGTCCTCTTCCTTCTCCGACAACGACGACCATCCTAGCAGACTGCTTTTGCTCGAGCCCACCAGGAGTCTTGGCATCGCGCGGGCGTGTGCATTTTTTCCCCGGCGAGGGCCATCGAGGAGCATCCGGGATCATCTGGCAAAAGAGGCACGCACGAGATCGAGAAATGCACGGGGAACGGACGTCCGAGCGATGGCAGGGATTGATTTCGGCTCGGCCACCTTCGCGGGTCAGTTCTCGACAGACTCCTCCTCTTCGTTGCGGTGCTCTACGACGCAGAAGGCGGCGCGGCCCCCGGGGCCCGGACATCGCCCGTGGGGCCCCTCCTCCTGCACCTGCTTCGCTGAGGCGGCTTGGGCCGCGGGAGTGGCTCTTCGCCCCCGGCGGCTCGCGCCCGAACGTGTGTGCGCGTGTGTGCGTGTGTGCGCGTGCGCGTGTGTGTGTGTGTGTGTGTGTGTGTGTGTGTGTGTGTGTGCGTGTGTGTGTGTGTGCGCGTGTGTGTGTGTGTGTGTGTGTGCGTGTGTGCGCGTGCGCGTGTGTGTGTGTGTGTGTGTGTGTGCGTGTGTGTGTGTGCGCGTGTGTGTTGCGCGTGCCTGTGCGTGAGCCAGCGCGCGCAGTTGGGCGAAGGTGTCCGTGCACGCTGGCGCCGCAAGCGCCGGCCCCGCCGGGGCGCACGGCGCGAGCGCGGCGCGTGCCGGGAGGGCCCGGGGCGGGGCGCCGGCGGCCGTGCCCTCTCCTCGGGTGCCGCAGGCGGGGGGCATGCCCGGCGGGCCCGGAGCGGCTGCTGGGCGCGTGTGGGCCGGCCCGCTGTCCCTCAGGAGGGGAGGAAGACACACAGACACAGTGAATCGTCGGTCCCCAGGAAAATATGGGAAAATATGGGAAGTGTGGGGGGGGGGAAGGCAAACAAAACCCAAAACATGGGAAACTATGGGGACTAGTCTTAGTTGCGTGTATTTCTTTGTGTGTCCTGGGACCCCTTCAGTCACCGCCAGGGCTGGACCTAAGGCGCTGCTCTGCTGGACTTCGGCCGTGCTCTGGTGTTCGTGCTGGCAGGGGGGTGCAGCAAGAGCCAGGCAGAGCACAACGAACCGGACCGCGAGGACGGAACGAAGAGCAGCGCTCCAGCCCTGGCCACCGCAGCTGGGGCCCTCCAGTCACCGGTTCTCGGACCGAGGGAGGTGTGCCCCAATGGGTAGGTCGGCGCATGCGGACCTTTTTCTGTGGCGCCGTAGCAGGGCACCCCGATGGTCAGCGAGCGAAGAACGGTATACAATAAACTTTTTCGCTGTCGGGGGCGCCTGTCCCTGGGCGGCTGGAAAGTTTATACCCTACGGTGCCACCGTAAGGGTATAAACTTTCCAGCCGCCCTGGGACAGGCGCCCCCGACAGCGAAAAAGTTTATTGTATACCGTTCTTCGCCCGTTAAGATGGGGCAGAGTCGTGCGCGAGAGGTGTGCTGGCATGTAGGCCAGCGCCGCCTGCGAGCGTGCCCGCTGACACCGAGGATGAGACTTTCTCGGCGGGGGGCGAGTGTGTGATGGGTGCGTTAACAAGTGGGTGCGATACGGCGAAGAAGAAGACGAGATGGACGAAGCAAATGACGTGGGGGGGAATCCAGTGCAGGCGGATGAGGGCGGAAGGCGACTAGAGCGCACAGCGCATTCGAGATAAGCCAAGCACCAAATTCTCAAAGGAAACTTGTGAATACGTATGGGTACGAAATGACTAAGCAATGACCGTAGATTGTAAAATGATGCTGGCGCGTGGGCCCAAAACAGTTATCGTCGATCCCGCTTCGTTGCCACATAGTTTGTTGTATCCATACTCAAACCTGTAAGTTCGATTTGTTTTCTTCGTCATGATGCCGTGTGTGCTGGGGCCTCTCTTTCTCTCGTTCTGTCGCCTCCTCTTTCGTTTCCTGTCCTCCCGCGTTATCGCTTCTGCGCTCTGGGGTTCGTCGTTGCTTCCCTCTCGGCCTCGTCTTCCTCCTCTTCACCCTCGGTCCCTCGTCGCCCTCCCTATAAAAAATATGTGTGTAGACGTACTCCCTTGCTTGTATTTTGCAATCCGTGAGGGGGCCCCGTGAGAGCCCGAAGAGGCCCCAGACACCCACCAGACGCCCGAAGACGACCCAAAGAAGTCCCCCAAGACGCTTTCGAAACGCAAAGAAACATTGCCTTTCAATTGTTTTGTGTTTTTGTTTGGAATGTTCTGTTCTTCATGGTACTCCTAGGCCTGCGATGTTCTGCTCAGCATTCCGCGCATTACAATTCCACCTCACCAAGGCACCGCAGCCATGTAAGAGGTCCCGCAGCCATCGCGTCCCGCAGGACGCACGGCTTAGTGGTGGTGGTCTGTTCTTCAGTCTTCCGGGCGTTGTCCCACACATCGCCCAACAGCCACCCACGAGGCCATCCAGGCAGTCCAAGAGAGCCCCCAGGCGGCCCAACAAGGCACATAATGGTCCGAAGAGCACCCCAGAATTGTTTGAGATGGCCCCGAGACGCCCCCCGAAGCATTTCAAGTCGTGACCTGGTCGTTCAGGGGGGCCGCGGTTGGAAGCAGGGTGGCCGAGAAAGCCCCTCTGAGGCTCCCGGAAGGCGCCCAGGAGGCATCGTAGTGAGCCCCCGAAGAGGCTCTCAGACGAGGAACCTCCGCAAGAAGAGCTGAGGAGGATAGGTGAAGAATCCACAGGGTAGGGCAAACACAATGAAGATAACGTGGAGCCATAGGGGACATACAGTACATGCGATTATTAGCACGACAATGCCAGAAACAAAAAAAAAAACGTATCGCACATGTTGTAGGTTTGAAGTTCTTGTCTGTCCGCTTGTATGTGCACATGCATGTGCGCAGGTATCGTTATCCCTACCCTCGATTGTGTGTTACACATGTGTATGCTCGTATGTAGGTTGCATCTATACATACATAACCTTGTGCCGCTGATAAAAGACCCCCCTTTACAGGCTAGAGTTGATTATCCACTGCCAAGAAGAGTTTGGCCAGGGGCGCGGGGCGCGGAGGCCGACCTTTTTTTTGTATCACTTTGAAAAGTTCGCCATCGAGGTTAACTTCCTTCGTATGTTGAGATATCAACATCAAGCGAAGCGAAGACGTTTTCGAGGATGCCTCAAGCGAAACCAACAATGTTTGGAGGCAGCCTCAAGCGAAACGATCAGTTGTTTCAAGGATGTCTCAAGCGGAACCAACCATTCTTCGAGGATGTCTCAAGCGAAGCGAGAGACTTGTCGATGAGAGACTTCCTCCTTCTCCTCCTCCTCCTCCTCCTCCTCCTCCTCCTCCTCCTCCTCTCTCGCTTTCTTTTTTTCTCTCGCTCGCTCGCTCTCTCTCTCTCTCTCTCTCTTTGTCTCTCTCTCTCTCTCTGTCTTTCTCCTTCTCCCCCTGCCCCCCTGAACTTTCTTTTTTTTCTCGCTGTGGTTTACTATCCACGGAAACCGAGGCACAGGAGGCACCCTACACGAGCAGATGAAAAACTTAGTTTCCATTGTTTGTTTACAAATTGAATTTGATAGGTTTGGAATTTTGGCTTTTCTCCTCCTCCTCCCCCTCCTCCTCTCTCTCTCTCTCACTCCCCTTCTGTCTGTCTATATTTCTCTACTTCTCTCTCCCTCCCTCTGTCGAGCTATCGGTATCTTTCTGTCTCTGTCTCTCTCTGTCTTCCTCTTTCTCCCCCTGGCACCCTGGACCTCGATCCTCGATCTTCGATGTTCGACCCTGGGACCTCGATCCTCGATCCTCGGACCTCGCCGCCGTCGATCCTCGGACCTCGATCGTCGACTCTGGGATCTCGATCCTCGATCCTCGGTCTTCGATTCTCGATCGTCGATCCTTGGCTTCCGGGCCTCTTAACATTATTTCTTTCTCCTCCCACATGCTGGCCTCCAGTAGCCACCATTTGAAAATCCCCCGCGACACAGAACTTTATTATCCCTGTGGGGTTAATCTCCGTGGGACAGGGTTATATATATATATATATATGTACCTACATATATGTGAAAATCCATGCGTACGTACTGGTGCTGAGCATGCAGGGTCACTATGTGTGCGAGCCCGTGGGCAGTTCAGTACGGGTGTCTCGTCTCCCTCTCCCTCTGCTCTCCATTCGTCGTATTTGGTGCGATCGACCCTCTACTCCCCACCGCGCACTCGCCACTCGCACCTCATGGGCAGGACGCTGTGGGCGGGGCCCTGTAGACCCGATCCCGTGGGTGGGACCCTGCGTACGGGACCCCGTGGGCGCGCACCGCCGTATGCCCCCGGGCAATTGAGGCCAATGGCTCAGCAATCGGACAGGCCTTCCCCGCATCAAGGGGCCC